TTCACTTTTTTTTTGTTTTTTGTTTTTTTTGTGTTGTTACTAATGCTTGCTTTCTTTTTCTGTAGGTCTTGTGCTTCACCAGGAAGGGTTAATGGGGACCGGTGGAATTCGAGTTAAAAAGAATAAATTTGTTGGTTTTGCCATTTGTTGATGTCGTCGTTTGTTGGTGTTTCGATTTTGCTTGTGCAATCGTTAATTGTCGTTCTTCGTCATTCTTCAGTAGATTTTTTTAACACTAATATTTCTTTTTTTTAGGCATTTCTTTGGTTGTTTACTTTTTGTTTTTCTTCGGTGGGTTTCTTCGATAGGTTTCTTTGTCTTTTTTCTTTCTTGGTTTTTTTTTGTTTTCTATTTTTTTTTTCACTTATTCTTTTCTTGTTTCTTAATATCTTTTAGAGCCATCATTTTTGGGGTCTTCTATTTTGAATAAGTTTATTTATTTATTTTTTTTTTAACTTCATTTTTGCGTTTGCTAAATATTCTCTTTCTTTTTTGGTTTGTTTAGGATTCAATTGAACATAGAATCAATTCTAGAGGATTGGTGGAGTTGTCTTTTTGGTACTTTGTCATTGGAGTCATCATCTGTGGTGTCAGAACCTTCATCTTTGGTGTTGGGGCCTTTGTTATTAGAGTCATCAACTTGGTGTTGAAGTCTTTGTTACACAATATAAAATTCGTTAATTTTATTTGTTGTAGTTATTTGAAGTAAGTGTTTTAAATTATTTGTTACATGATTCGTTTTTTTAAAAAAAAAAAATTTAATAAAGTTACACGATCCACGTGATCAATTTTGATTGGTTATCAGAAAACTTTTTTTAAAATATATATCGATTACAATCCCTAGTTTATAATCGATATATATCACCCCTGCTGGGTTATATCGATTATAGTATTATAATAATATATAGCAAAAAATTTGTTAAATTTTACCAAACTTTGACATAGATTTTCTCAATAACTATCAATTGATATTAGTTTAAATTTTTACTATAGATAGTATTGGTATTCAACTATAACATATAAAAATTTTAGCCAATTATAATTACTAGTTCACAGGTAATCGATTGTATACATCAGCAAATTATATAAACGTAATCTTACGTAAATTATTACAGACTGAAAAATTCCGCAATAATTATAATCGACGTAGAATATTTCGCAATTTTTAATTACAAAATATTACGAAATATATTACGCTATATTACGAAAAAAATTTCGCAATATTTTGAAATAATTCGCAATAATTCAAAACTCAAAAAAATAAATTAGCTATAAAACTGAAATAAAATAAATACATTAATTAAAAAATGCAAATTAATTCAGATATATTAAATGAAATTCGAACTAGTTCGAATTGTACAAAATCAAATTATTGCGATTTAAAGATAATGTGCAAAAAAA